AGAGAGAGAGAGAGAGAGAGAGAGAGAGAGAGAGAGAGAGAGAGAGAGAGAGAGAGAGAGAGAGAGAGAGAGAGAGAGAGAGAGAGAATAGACGGGTCACAGACAGATAGACAGATGGGCAGGCAGATTGACAAAGACACAGGGATTGGGAGAAGGCAGAGGAGGGAGAGGTGGGGAAAGTTGCCCGGAGATAACACATGGGAGAGGGACCCAGAGAGGCCATGTCATGTGTCCGCGCTGATGCTGCCATTGTGGCTTGTTTTCCATTGCGGTGGTGTCCTTTCCCTCTTTTTTTTTTTTTAATATGGAATATTTACTGATATATGTGTCACCCTTGCACGGAGGCCATGCTAATCTGCTCTGTATTATTCCCACTTTTAACAGATGTCCCGAAGTACCTTTCCCTCATTTTTCTCCTTCGTCCTCACCTCAGTTTTCCTGTTCATTTGTGTGTTAAATTATTAACCCCAAACAACTGGTTGTCCTTGGGCTTGTGTGAGGAACGAGCCCTCAAGTAGGGGCCTTGCCATGATGTACATGTTCTGGGCTAAGGCCCCAGCAAGCCTCGTGCCCGCCCTAAGTGAAGGCGGGCCAGCAAATCAACAAGAGCCCTCTGTGCCAACATTTCACGAACTTTGGAAGCAAACAATGTGGGCTCCTCATACAAACATTAAAAAAACAAACAGGCAAAAGAAAATGAAAATTCACGAAAAATAACACCCCCTGCTAACCACGAGGGGGGGGAACAGGGGGGTGGGGGGGAGAAAGGGGGGGTGAGCTCAGGACCATATGCACCTGTTTCAACTTGAAAGAAAGAAAAGTAAAAAAAAAAACCGGGGCGGTCACATCTTCTGAGTGAGGTTCTGTCGGTTGGACTGTGGGACAGAGATTCTGGGCGGATCTCGAAGGCTGCCCTGAAACAACTGATGGTGCCCTCCATAGACTGGGAATCGACCGTCTCGCTAATCTGAAAGGAGGCATGCTTTCCCTAGGACAGGTACGGACGCCTTTTCCATTCCTTACCTCTCTTCTCAATTCTTGCCCTTAATTCTTGCTAATAAATTAATGAATTAAATTGATAACAATCCTTCACATGGTTTTAGTCGTCTGATTTGAGTTTCCTGAACTTTCATTTAGTTTCTTCTTCTCTCTCTCTCTCTCTCTCTCTCTCTCT